CTTGGAATCCATTCTCATGTGTTTGCACTGCCCAAATCCTAAAAACCCTTCCTGTTTTAGTATTAAATATATAATCACATCAAATTCTTTTGTGACAACAGGAACCCAGAGGGTCTGGAAAAGCACCCTCTCCTAGGAGAGAAAGCTGAACAAAAAGGCCAGAAAAGGAAGGTAGGGCACAAATATAGCCTTCACTTATTCCATCATGTTCTCAATGGTCAGTCCTAGTGATATTTATAAAGTTAGTAAACCTCATAGCAAGGAACCCAAAATAAGAAACCTAGAGAAGAAATACCTTTTCTCATCCCTTGTCCTCTTGCCCATTGTTCATGGCTTTGACTATATAGAAACCAAATAGATGACCAAGAATTTTGGGAAAGTTTATCATTCACGTTAATTCACAATATGTATATACAACCAGCCAGTTAGCTGAAGGAACCCTCTTCTTATGGAAATTTTCTGAAATACATTTCTTTAGAAATTCACATCCTGTGAGACTAACCATTTCCCTTTTCAGGACTGTGTGTGCCTCACAGGGGGTCTCAAGAAGTTGCTCTGTGCTAATATCTGTCTCCAAAACAAGCCTCTAGGGTTCAGGAAAATTAACTCCTCTTCCAGTTACAAAGTAAGGTTTTCTCATTGAAGAAAGATACTTTAGTGTGTGACTCAAAAACGTTTTAGTGAAAAATATGAAAAAATTAAACCCCTTCAAAGACTAATTTGTTCCTACTTGTGAAGATTTCGTTTCCCCTTTCATTTTACTGATTACAGTTTTAAGTGCTCTTTTAAGAAAACTAATTCTTTTGAAATTACTCTTTATCTTCATTCTTACTGTCACTGCCCTAATCCATGCTCTTATTACCTTAAATTTAAATTATTGGCATTTCCTTCAATAGGTCTCTCCACCTCCTGTTCCATCTCTTCTCCAATGCATTCTGTGCACCTTTGTCTCAGCAATCCTTCATGGAGTGGAAGAAAAGAGGTTGGGCTCTGGAGCCAGACATACTTGGGTCTGAATCTTGCCTCTCTCACTTATTTGTTGTATGATATTAGGGAATTTAATTACCCTCTCTGTGTTTTAATTTGCTTGTAGGTAGGATAGGACATAATATTAGTCCCTACTCCTTAGGATTTTTCTGAGGATTAAGTGAGAGGATGTGTGTAAATTGCCTAGAATGGTGACTAGTACATAGAAAGTACACAATAAATAAGAGTTTTTAATCTCCCTCTCTCAGCTCTGTTTAAAGCCCGTCAATGATTTCCTATATCCTATGGCTTCTATACTCTTAAATTCTTCTTTATATGGTTTCACTCTCTGAGTTTCTTTCCTGCTGTTCCCTAGCATGCCCTATGCTTTAGTCAAGATTTTGTCCTCCCTATCACACAAATAGTATGTTTACTCTTCATTTACATGCTTGGCAATATTTCTTCTCTCTCCTGGAGTCCCTTGACTTCCCCTTTCTCTTTAAGCTGGTATTTGCCAAATTTCAGATATGCATATGTCTCTCCATTGTTTTTGCTATGTCTATTTACCCTCTATACTATTATTTGTATGTGTGTTGTTTAATCACACTTTTAAAAACTTAGCTACCTACTTTAGCCTCATCCTAAGTAGTATTATGAATGAAATCATAGATGTGAAGTGCTAATTTTATTACATTTAAAGCCTAATAACAAATGTGTAACTTGAAAATGTTTAAACAGCAATTCCTTGTACCACCACAAATAACCTTGCATGCCTCCAGTGGGACATGTTTCACCCATTGGGAATACTACCGAAACCAAATTTGTCTGTTGAGCAAAGACCAGCCAACCTTCCCCAACAGGTTTTACCCATACTGAACTCATTTTAGCTTCCACACAATTTAATAGCAAATCATACTGTTTGTGCTTTCTATGTTATGTTTTCTAATTATTTTATGGAGTGATTAACCTGTCACTTAAACTGTATACTCTTGGAAGATAGAAGACATATTTTATGCTTCTGAATTCCACTCTTCCCACTCAGCATCCCCAAATTGATTGTTGTTATAGCTTCTTAAGTACTTATTGAAAGATTAGTTTTTAAAAGTGCAAGAATAATCTGTGTTTACAGAATCAGATATGGGAAACTCTTGAAGACAGTTTATCTAAAGCAATTAATACTCACTAATTCTAATGCAAAAGGAATTGAGATCACAACTCACTCTTTCCTCTTTTTTTTCCACTTTTTGTTATACTATTGTTCCAGAAAGAATTGAAGATGGTTTAAAAGGATGCATACTATAGCAAGATAATATAAATACAAAATAGGTGGAAAATAATAAAGAAAAATGGACAAGGATGTAAAATTAGAGCCATGAAAGAAAAGCACACCATAAAAATATCTCCAAACTTGCAGCCAGCCGACTATAAACTAGTTCTAGGGTTTTCAGCAGATTATACTAAAAAAGACACATGACACAATTATCAGTATCTGTTAAGAATCAAATCAAACCAATTGCTTAGGAAAAATCTAGCTCTTCCCAATACTAAGATCAGGTAGTATTATTGGGTCCTCCTAGAAAACACAGTATATTGTAATAAATAATGTCCTCAACAACACCTATCACACCTAATTTACTGTTACTGTTAGAGAAGACCTAAAAGCCTTTGAAGCACAGACTCGTAAACTTTCCTAGGCCTAGGGAAGATATGATGTACCAGTTAAACTTTGAAAGGATACATAAGAGAGAAGGGAAGAGTTCAGAAGTATAGGCAAAGTGGGGCAGCTGTACTGTTTTTTAGACTTTTATGACTGGATATTTATTACTTGGTTTGAGATGATAATGATTCCTAGACTATCAGTCATACTCAATAACTAAAGTCTCTCTTCTAAAAGTTAATTGGAGACGATTGTGAAATTATCTGCTTTTTTGGTTTGTCCACAGATTTACTCCTTTAACTAACACTAAAAACTTTACCTAAGTTGAAATGTTCTTTGCCTAAACTGGGTCACTGTCTTCTGAGCTACTTTTGCTTCCCTTTTTAGAACCAATGAAAGGAGAAGACACTTGCATGCAAGAGAGCAATGAGGTAAGCTGGCAAGCTATTTTCTTAGCAATGTTAAGATGCTGTCTGGGAAATGAAAGTGGGCAGCCGTGACAGTAGCTAATTGTCAAGAAAGGGGTCATTTTATCCTTTTGTCCCAGGGTTTGGCTTTAAAGATCAACAGGTCTGGAACTTTCTTTGGTCAGAGAAGGATCATAGCCTAGGAAAACTGGCTTATACTGCCCAAACTCAGAAGGGATGGATTTGTAACAGAAAGCCAATTTAATAATTTATATTGAAGACCAGAACTGCCAAATGGACTGAAATGTGTGTTGGCCTATCAGTGTATTCTTTCAGTAAGGGTGCCAAGTCAGAAAACTAAATTAACAACAGATTGGAGCTGGATAAATATATGTAATCAGAATTAAGAAGGGGATTGCAAGGTCAGGCACGTTTCATTTGATATACCTCAGCCAGGATGGGTACCCTCTTCCTTTACCAGTTCTCACAAGCCATGGCCTTTTCATCAATCAGTTCAAGTTCTCAGTTCCTAGTGCTGAAAGTATCTCTTTTCCATCTCTTGATGTCCTTGAAATTTATATTAGTGATCTCTGAGTGTTGGGTGTGGCTCTTTCTAGTTCTTGAATGATTTTAGTTTTACAAGAAGAGCATGTTGCAGATCCAGGTTGCCCTTCTACAAAAATGTTGTCATCCACTTTAATCAGTCTTATCCATAAATCCAGATGCTACTGTTTGATCTAACCCACAGTACTTTCTTTTCTCCTTTGTTATGGTTATTACCCAGAAGGCTCTTTGCAGCTCTAGGCCCTGGGTTCTGAATGTAGCTTCCTCACATGCACACAGAGGTTTGTGCTGGTTTGCAAGCCTTGTTTCTCAGAACTACTCTCAGACTTGGCTGATACTATAGTCCCCAAGTGTATGATCTTTCTTTACTTGCAACCTTATAAAGGCTCCACAGACAAAGACTAAACCTTAGTACACTGGAGGGAGACTGAAATATATATGGTTCATTTATTTATTCATTCATTATTTGAATATTTACTTTTTTCATTCATTCCTTCACATTCATTCAACAAACATTCATGAAAGTACCTCATGCTGGACTAGTTGGAAATGCAGGGATAAGTCAGACATGATCTTTGCCCTGAAACAGCTTGCAATACACTAAGAGGATAAGAAATGTATAAAAATAAACAAACTACACATTATATTATAAGCCTTGAGATAAGAGGTTGTGGAAATGTACTCCAAATGCAGGGAATAGCTTAAGCAAAGGTAGTCTTACTGCTGTTAGTTCTGACATGTACTTTTTATTTTTGGCACTACTTCATAAGTTTATTGAAGGGAAAGGTTATTTTTCTATAGCTTTATAATTAAACTTTCTTAGACCCTCACAATTTAAACATAAGTCAAAATTATAAATAGTACCTTCCTAAATCTACATCATAATTAAAACTCCCAAAGTTCAATAAAATAATAAATCACAAGTTGAACAAACTCAATTTAAGAAAATGTAATAGGAGTTGGAGAATATTCTCTGACAGGTATTCTTGAGGTTTTCTCACTCTTTCTCTCTCAGGATTGAAGGAGTTGCAGTTCTTGTTCTTAGGTAAACTCTCTTCAGATTTTGCCTCAGAATCCCATCCTGCCATAGAGCCTACTGGAATCTAGTGAGATGGATAGGCATGTGAGTTGTAGTTGAAAGAGATAGGGTAAGAAACCGTGAAACCATGAGGAAGGCTGGTATACAGTCATTATTTGGTTTTGAACACCCTGTAGCTCTCTGCTCTTTGAATTTCTTTGCACGAATGAAGTAAAAACTAAATGAAACTTGAGTAATGTCTTCTGTTCAAGGGACTTACCTTTTGTCTGTGTAAATATGGTTTCTGTGGTGAGACACCAAATGCACTCAACTTCCTTTTTCAACAACAAATTTGTCAGTTATCAGTAAGCTCCATGCCACCCAGACTTAGGCTTTTCTGCCCCAAGCTCCCTGCAAAGAAACAAGCCCAGCAAGGCTCCAGGGTAAGTTATAGCTTAATATGTGGGAATTGGTATAATTCCATGTGGGAAGATTGGTGGGGACAAGAAGATCTGGGACAGAGACAGATGTGAAACCAGTGTCCAAATTGAAAATGGTCCCTGGTTTCTTATTTCAGACTTATTACAGCAGGAGCAATCGTGACTTCCCTTGAGTCTGACTAGAGTGCAAAGTTAGGGTTAGTGCCATCAGTCTCCACCATTATTCCAGGAGCATGGGGTCTGTGATGCAGCTCAGTCTTTGCTGAGGGTTCTTTGTTTCTTTATCAACAAGGGAAGATGGCACAAAGTGGTAAGAAAAGAGTATCGTTGGTGAGATTCATTGGGAAAGCTTGACCTATTCAGTCAGAAAAAGAGGATTTGGATTTCTGCTCTGTATAAATTATCTAGTTGCTTAGTGAAGGAACATTTTTATGTATAAGCTCCTTGCTTTGGTAAGTTTAACTTTCACAGATACAGCAACAGACAGTAAATTCTCAGGAGAGAAAGAAAGAAAGTCAGATCATAGACTTTGGAGTTGAAGGAGCTCTTAGAGATCCAAATCCCTCACCATACAGATGGGAAAACTGAGAGACAGTGAAATGAAGACATTTAAGATAACCCAGCTAGTTAGCCGCAGAGCTGGAACTAGAACATGTATCTTCTAAATTACGGTCCCTTTTTCCTACAGAAGCTGGTATCTCCCAGAGAATACTGTAAATATATTTATAACTGTGTTGGATTTTAGGTTAGGAAAGGAGAAAATATCCTAGATGACAAAATCTGTTGAAAAGATTTCAAAGTCTGTTCAGAGGCATTTCTAGATCCTTTGAAAGCTGCTTTTCTGCCCAAGTTCAGACCTAATGGATAGCAGAGCCCAAAAAAGAGGCACCTATCTTTTCAGTAATTATTGTTCTTATTACGTTGAGTGCTAGCAATCTCTCTGGTTCTGAGACAAGATGACTGAGTCAAAAGGAGACTTCCAGTTCGGTAATCCTTCAAGGTGGACTGTACCACAACAGTTGGTACCAGGATCATCTTGGATAGAATGATAACAAGCTTTATTGTGCTTTTTGGGTGGAGTAGTAGTCTCAGTCCCAAGGATCCTGCAAGTGGGAACACTTTTATTTTGGTTTTTCAAATGGACGTGGGAGTCCTTGCCATTTCTATTAATTGAGGAGTTTATCCCTTAGCTGTGACACTGTCAAATTATTCACTGTTGAAAATATGTGATAGGTTGATATATTGAGGCTGAAAATAGCATGAACTATACTGAGAATCAAGTCATGCATTTGGGGTAATTATCTTTGGAATGGTTCCTTTTGAACAGAGGGCCTTCTTTGATCAAAGCAGTTCCTTTTTGGGCTCAACTGGAAAAGTTGTTGAGTGCAAGTTGTGCAGACTGCTCAAATCCTGACAGTGGTGGAACACAAGGCTTCAAATGAGTAAGCATACTTCTGGATGGTTTTTGGTGGCTTTTCACACCTAGTTGTGTTTGAGGTAAGTCAGTTGATGTCCTAAGAGGCAGGGTGGTCTATGGACCTAATAAAGAGAACAGAGCTGTCTTTGTGAAACCATCTTTTCTACGTGTTCCAACAATCAGAGCAATGACTGGCAGGAAGTATATGCTTTATTTAAAAACTTCTGCTCAAGACGTCTCATATTTCAGGTCGGGATATTTTATATTTAAGTGTTCATCTAGTATTGATTCACATGCATCACAGGCAGAGTGATGAAGTATATGAACCAACACACAGAGAGACAGAAAGTTTTGGTTCTAGCTCAAGTTCTGTCAATGATTCAGTTTTGACCTTGGGCAAGTTGCTTTATTTTTCTGGGTCTCAGTAGTCTCACCTATAATAAGGGGGGAGGGGCTTGAAATAGATGGTCTTCAATTTCCTTCCTAGTAATACAAATGTTTGACTCTAGGCTCCTGGTGCCTGAGAAGAACTGCATATCATGAAGTGGTAAATAATGGGACCATAGTAGGGAAATCTAACTACAGTGAACCTTCTGGAAATACAGTCTAGATCTCAAAGGGAACTCAGTAATCTTTGCTAAGGGCCATTATACTTATTTCAGAGTAATGTCATCATGAGAACTTCAACTTTTAGAGCACAGGCAAGTGTTTTGTAAATAATTTCCTTTTTTTTCAAACGATAAGATGCAAACATACAAAGGAGCAAGTTCTGTAATCTGATTTCCACAATGACAGTGTCACTCAATCAGTATTTCTCAATCTTTTAAGTGCAAAGTTCCATTTGAAAAACATAAAAATCTCACTAAAAAGTTATTGTGGACTTGCTTAACTAGGAACCAGACCTTGGACTCCTAGAAAAACCTATCCCATAACATTGACATTTTCCAAATACTGTAAGCCCAACAGCCAAAAAGATTTTTCAGATCTGCGCTTTCAGCAGTTTGTATTATATGGACAATAATTATGATTTCCAAATATATTTACTGTAATAAGGAATTTTCTTTTCAAGTAACACGTTTTCCACTTTTCTAATTTAAGAATTATTGCATTAGTCTTACTAAATATTTCTCACATCTATCCTTTTGGGGAGATTTTCTAAACTCAGAGAAGTACAGCATCCAACCAAAGGCTCATGGAGATTACTCTCTGTACAAGTAAAGTGGAAATGAACTGCGATTTATTTAACATATACAGTGTACCAGACATGAAAATAGATACATTTTCTACTTAAAGATGTACATTTTCTATTTAATCTTTACAATGATATATGTTGCAGGCACTATGATCCTAATTTTATAAATGAGGAAGCTGAAACCAAGAGATATGGAGTCTTTTCAGGCTAGACAGCTGATAAGTGAGTCAAGATATGAATCCAGGTCTGCCCAAAGAACACGATTCTTTCCATCTCCAAAATCCTGCCCCAAGTACAAAAATAATGAATAATTAGGTCTCCTTCTTACCTTATTAAAAATCCAGTAAAGATGCATGCAGGGAAGTTCAATTCCAACTCTAAGATATTAGTTTGTGAATAGTCTAATTGCTTTAATTTATTTTAAGGGTAAAATAATTTTCACTTCTAATTTTTGGGAAAAATGTCTAGACTTGCAGAATAGATACAAACTTTTGTGTTTCTGACATCAAGCCAGGTTATTTACAGTTGATTTGAACTAATTCAGGAAATGGCAGAGTTCCAGATTCCAGTTGCTCTTCTTTGGCTGTGGTTATGAGTGATTGAATGAAGGACACCATGGTCATGGGTATAGGACTGGCTTGGATAATTCATGTGAGACTTCTGTGGTTTAAATAAGAAGAAAAAGGGGGAAAAAGACAAGTTACATTCCCAAATGGCCTGTAGATATATTCCCCTGGAGAGTGGGAAGGGCCTCCATCAGCAATATTTCTCTATTTAGTTTTCACTTCTCCTCCCAAGATGACAAGCCCACATACTGGCCCTATTATCAAAGAAAATAGGAGACAAAAATTTGACAGACATGTTCATTTAGTGGTATTAGTGACTTAATGATGAGGGGTGAAAAGAGGGAGAGGACTAAGAGGGCAAAACTTTATAGAGTTGTACTAGGAAAAGAGCAGTTACTTTGATGCCAGAAGCCTATGTTCTACACTCTTCACTCTGCCACTTGCATAGTATTCAGGTAACTGTGATCACTTCTTGAAGTCTCAGTTTCCTGATCTGTAAAATGGGGATGATATCCTCTGACCTAATTTGTTCTATATATGGTGTACGATATGCATATATATATATACATTTAATAATGATTAACAGCAATTATAGATGTAATAATGATATGTAAAGTGTAAATCAGCAGGTAGGTTGAGATGGTGGCAGCTGTATCAGTGATGGCAGTGGCAGTGCTGACGGTATTAGCTAGGGGTGGGGGTTTAGAGGAGCCAGGCCCATAACATCATGGCAAGTTAGATCAGAAGGTAGTTAACATGATCCAGTTCATATTGTCTTATTTTGATAATGAGGGAATTGAAACCCACATAAGGGAAGGGGATTAGCAGGACAACACAAAGAGACAGAATTTGAATAGTTACTAGAATCCAAGTGTTTTAGCTCCAAATCCAGTGTTCTTTTTAATAAATTCTACTGCTTGAGATTCCCCATCCTATCTGTCTTGTTATATTCAGCTCACCACTCTTATAAATACATTGTTCCAATACTCTATCCATAGATCTATTATGGTTTGGGTTCATAGGCAAAACTCGTTAAAGATCCCTGGTTTTGATACTACCATACGCTGACACCTGGTGGGCAATCATTTGCCATATATGTGTAGTCATAAAAGTGCTAGAAATAGAACCAAGATTATTAGCTTCTTCATCTTTGAAGAATTGTCTTATCCACAGAAATGTTACTTTAAGGTATTTCTGTGCAACAAATTGTTTGCAGAGAAGAATTTTAGCTGTCTCTGCTCATGAAGAGCCTCATTATGACTGAAATTGTAATAGCTGTGACTTTGAGAAAGAAACTTTATCCTGCTGAGCCTTCATTTTCTGATACGTAAAGGGGTATAATAATAATTAACTCAGAGTTCTCTCAAAGATCAAAGATAATATATTAACAGCGCTTAGCTAAAAACTGAGAGGATGCGTGTGGAAACTTCTTGAACTTAGTATTTCACTGAAACTTAGGAGTCTGGTACAAATTCTGATGCTGCCATAAAATAAGTTCAGTTTGGCTGTAACTTTGTGAAAGCACAGCATTAAGCTAGTTGGTTGGGAAGTGAAGCTGCTTTGGGTAGACATTATTGGTACCTATGATGTTCTTGAACTCAGTCATAGTATGAGTCATATTTAGTGACATGACATACGTTTGTGCTCTGAGACAAAATTTAGTTATTTCCATAAAGTCAAGTGTTTAATGACAAAATTCTCACTTAACTTTATGGGATTCCTACTGGCTTTAAAATAAAAGGTTGGGATTACAGGCTTTGGAGTTTTTAGATTTGTTAGACTCCAACCTTATTATCCTTGCCTTGACCATATTTTCCTCAGTAACAAAGGGTGAAAAACTATTGCTGTTGTTCAGGAGAGTAGCTTTTGGGAGAGACATTAGAAATAAAAATGCCTAAGGTTCTGCTAATATGTGCCTATTCTCCATAGTCTTACCTTTATAAACCAATGTGTATGAACTGAGATCCTACTACATGCCTAACCCTCTGCTAAACAAAATGAGGGATATAAAAGTGTAAGATACAGTCTTCCCTCATTGAGACTACATGCTTATAGTGTAGCCTAAAAGTCCAGTACAAATACAAAAAAGGAAGAAGTCAGAATAGGTTGCCCCATGCAAGGAAAAGATGACAGTTGAGATGGGATCTGGAGAGAGGAGTAAAATATTTACTTCTGAGATGGGATCCAGAAGAGAGGAGTTTGATGAAGTTTTAGTCATAATTTTTTTTTTTTTTTTTTTTTTGCGGTACGCGGGCCTCTCACTGTTGTGGCCTCTCCCGTTGTGGAGCACAGGCTCCGGATGCGCAGGCTCAGCGGCCATGGCTCACGGGCCTAGGCGCTCCGCAGCATGTGGGATCTTCCCTGACCGGGTCACGCACCTGTGTCCCCTGCATCGGCAGGCGGACTCTCAACCACTTGCGCCACCAGGGAAGCCCTAGTCATAATTTTATACCAATCTTCATTATCAGGAACATTCTTAAAGCTGCACACTGAAAGTGAATCTTGTTAGCTCGATCATGGTAGCTGATTTTCCTGCTCTGCTTATTAGATTAGAAGTCTGTGCTGGTCATTCCCTTTAGGGTTTAGCTCCCATTACAGACCCCTATTTCAAGAAGAGGCATCTCTATGAAGGTACTGGCCTTTGATGTAGGCAGTGTTTACCCTGGATAGAGCATTGAACATTGGATAAACCAAGAGGCATTTACTTCTTTAAGGATGGTATTGGAGGCACTGGGAATTTAGCCCTCATTCTATCTGGGTGGTTCACAGTCATAGAGCTAGGAGCTCAAGTATATACTAAAGATATGGTATTTTCACAGGTTATAATTTTGCCTGGGTTGTATTTTCTGTGTGGTCCTGCTTAGCTGAGTTGGTTATGCAACACCAGTGAGGTTAAGTCTTTAGGATTAATCCCCACATGAGCCAGTTAACATCAATTTTTTTAATAGTGCTATATATTTAGCCTTGTTCTAGGGTGAGAGAGAGAGAGAGAGGGAGGGAACAAAATTTAGGGCATAACCCCTGACTTTACAAAGCTCACAGCCCAGTGTAGAGAGATTCATAAACAGATAAACAATAAAAGAGTTGTCATAAGGCAGAATATTTGCCCAGTTAAAATATTTACTAAGTGATTATGTGCTAATTATTCTGCTAGGTTCTAGAGATTTAAAGATGAGTAAGGCATGCTGTTTGGCTTCAAAAATGCTCATAGTTTAGTTAGAAATAAAGAGATATAAATGGAAACATTCTATAGCAGTGAGTGTATCGTTAAAGCAATCCCTATGATGACATGGTAGCCCAGATTTGCCTTTTTGATATATCATTTTGGCAGCAGAGTATAGAATAGATTTTAAGAGGAAAATCCTCAAAGCAGGTAGATCAGTTAAAGAGTGTTTTAATAATCCAGAGAGAGAGGAGGGAGAGAGAGTGGGAGAGGGAGAAAACTTGGTTGATTGAATGAGAGTGAAGGGATCTAGGATTATTTTAAGGCTTCTGGCTCTTGTAATTGGATAGATGGTGTGGATAAGTAAAAGATCAGGGAGTATGATGAGTTTAGTTTTGAATATTTTTATTTTGCGACGCCTGGGAGACATTGAAATGGGAAATCTCCACTGAAAGTTAGACATATAGATTTAATATCTGAGAGGAGGCCAACCCTGGACATTGAGACATAAGAGTCATCTGGATATGGGTGGTAACAGAAGCCATGAAACTGGGTGATGTTACTTAGCACGAGGGCACTGAATAAGAAAAGAATATGCAGACCTTAGGAAAACAAACATTTAAAGGATGTGCAGAGATAAAAGAAACCATAAAGGAGACTCGGTATGAATGGATAGATAGTTAAGAGGAGACTCAAGAAAGAGTTGTGGCTTAGAAGCCAACAGAAGAGAGCATTTAAAAAACATGGAAACGATCAGACTGTGTCCAAGCTGGCAGAGAAGCCCTGCCTGATTTGGAAATGTGATGGTCACTTGTCGCCTTTATTAAAGTAGTTTCAGTGATGTTGTAAAGGTATGCATGTCACCTTGGAATGCATTAAAGAATGTATATAAAATGAGGAAAAGAAAACAGTCAGTGTCAAAAACTATTGTGAGACGTTTATTTAAGAAGAGAAGGAAAATGACAAAGAGCTAGAATAAGATGCATTGACAAGAGAATTATTATTTTGGGTGTTGGAGAGACTTGATGACAAATATCTAGCTGAGAGTGAAGGGCAACATGATGATCTAGGAGTGAAAGGGAACAGCTAATGAAAGAAGATCCTGAGAAAGATAAAAGGGATTAAGAGCATGGGAATTCATCTTGTGCAATAGGAAAGACAGCTGTGTTGGGAAGGATGCAGTTGTAGATAAGATTGTGTGGGTTGGGAGGGGACAATGGATGAAACTGAGTTGTTTCTCACCCAATAACCTCAATTTTCTTGTGATTTAAGGGGTAAGTTTCTCTGCTGAGAAAGTTGGGGGATGGGAGAACAGGAGAGAAGAAACTTTAGAAGAGTTGTGAAGGTGCTGCATAGTCAATAGGAGAAGAAACTAATCAGGCATGTGCAAAAAGAGGCTGGAGCAAAAAATCTTAGACTGGAGATCATACACTTCTAGTTTTAGCATTTCAAATATATACTGGTATTTTTAATAGGATCATTCAGCAGTTTGGATAGTAAAAAAGAAAATGGATTGTGGACTTGATCTGGGATTAAGACCTTGCCAGGCTGGTATGGCAGAAAAATCATGAGCAAAGAAGTTGATGGTTCTTGTGTGAGAATAGTTAATTTGACCATTTAATGTAGTCTGCGTAAGGGAGGAAGTAAAATGAGGGCGGGTGCCAGATTGGCCCAGAAGAAATGGCAAGATTTAGAAATTTAAGGTCTCTGGGAGTGTCTGGTGCAAGCTAGCATAGTGCAACTTGCAGTGAAGTTCAGTGATTTTAATGTTAGAGAAAGCAAACCATCTGAAGAGTCAGGAATTTATGAAGCTTGGCAGAGAGTACAAATTTGAAAAGTTCTGGAATAAGGAAGAGTTTACTTTTGACTCAGAGTGTCAGGAATAGTGAATGCTGTGAGCTGCTAATCTGAAAGGGCTTTGGTACAGTACAAAACTGTGATATCCTTGTATAACATTTGACATGTTTTATAAATGAAGTTATCTTTGACTCCTCAAGCAGTCTCCCAAACTGGTCAATTCCATATCTGACTTTTACTTGAAATTCTAATATTCATGCCATACCAGGTCAGAGCTTTTTTTTTTTTTTTTTTTTTACTTCCTTGACTGTTGGAATAGTAGGATGATCAATTATTCTGTTTGTCCTGGACTGTCACCGAAAATATTACATACTGGGAAACCCTCAGTCCTAGGCAAACCTGGACTGTTGGTCACCCTACAAACTCACAACTAATTTGAACTTCCTGTCTCTGGTCTCCCAATCCATCTTCCACACTGTTGCCAGAGTGGTCTTTCTAAAACACAAGTATAGTAATATCACATCTCTTCACAGAATCCTTCAATAATTCCCCATAAAACCCTCCATGATCTAGCTGCATCTAACTTTTAAGTTGCTTTTCCCTTCCACTACCTTCTCCCAATCTAACCTCCTATTCCACCTTCCCCACCATCTCACCCTGTTTTCCAGCTGTTATAGAACACCTATTCTTCCTTTCTATGGGTCATTCATTTTTATACTTTGAGAACTTTGAATGCTCTTCATTCACCTCTGAAACTCTTTTTTCATCCCTTTTTCCTACAGCCTTCCCACTCCAGCTGCTTATTAAAAGTGAACTTATCCTTCAGGATGAGCTCTAAGACTCCTTTTCTGTGCAGGATTCATTTCTACTCTCACAGAAATTTCTTTGTTATCCCTTTCATGGCACATTTAAAAATCCATTATGGTTAGTTATTCTTATGTCTTTTACTCCTTAAATGACTATAAACTTCTTGAGGATGACAATCACGTATTATTCTTCCTTGAAATTTCCCACCCCACTACACTATCTTCATCAATTTACATATCAAATACACATAAAGCAGAATGTCCCTTTGCTGGATAAAATTATGAATTGCTAAATCCCAGATGAATGGTATTGATAATACCAAGTTCAGCCTTTCTTGAAGAGATGGGACTTGACCACAGCTTTGAAGGGCAATTTAGGTTTAAATACAATAGTGTATAATTCAGGTAAAGTAAGGTTAACTTTTATCTCCTCCCCAGCCACCATCAGCAGTTTGTTCTCTAACCCTGTCCCTGTAGTGACTAATAAAATAATGCAGATAGCTTGACACAAGTGCCATCTTCTCTGGCTCGAGGTGATCTATCTCTCCTAATTTAATAGAAGCAGCCCAACATGGTTGAAAGAGCGTTAAGTAAGAGGCGTACAAACCTGACTTCTGGTCCTAGTTTCACCATATTTTAACCCTGTGACTTTGGACAGGGTACTGAGTTGTTCTTGAATGCATCTCTTTGTAAGCTAAACAATATGGTAGGGGTATTACTGATATCTGTCCTGCTTACCTCACAGAGATGATGCTGTGCCAACATGAGGATTTCTTATCACCTATGCCATTCACCTCAGTTCTTGTCATGCATTAGTTGTGATGTTGGAAATTAAAAAAAATATTTTTTCCGCCAGACCAGAAGTTTCTCAGGGACAGAGATTATAGCAGATGATTCTATATTTTCCATAGAACTTAGGACAGAATTCATAGTATGATGCTTATTAAACATATGTTGGTTGAGTGTTGGCCTCCAAGGCAGCCAGAACCCTTAAAAGGCCAAAGAAAAAAGTAAATACACAAGTTGTTTTCCTTTTATGCTTAATTTCCATGTGGGAAATTAAGCTCTGGGGACTACAGATGTTACCTCTCACTCTTGTTCCAAGTCCCACACGTAGGTGGGTAGGAAGCCATTCGCTGATGAGATGAGGCAGGTATATATTTCATTTGCAGAATGACAATCAACAAAAATAAAGGGTTGAGAAGCTTTTGGAAGCAGATCACAAGGACTACCCTCTCCCTGAGGCCTAGATAATAGTGTTGATGGTACTCTGAGATGTTGGGCTGTGCTGGTATCTACCTACAGGATATGTCTGACCACCTCTGATTCTAAATGAATATTTTGCTCTTTTCTCAGGCTTCTGAAGGCATGTTTTTCTGAGTTGTAATGGGTAAGTGCAGCAAATATTGATGATAATAGCCCAAATCAGGAGACAACTTTTGAGGGAAATAAAAAACAGTAGAAATATTGGGCTGGCCAAAAAGTTCGTTCGGGTGTTTCCATAAGCTCTTACCCAATATATTAGTTGACATATCAGGGCTTGCATTTTTACTTAATGATTCCAAATAAGGACTTTAAACTATTTTGTATGCAATTGAATCCAATTATATCACTTTTCTTTGGGTGCTTACCATATAGCCAAGGCTGAGTCTTGGCTATATGGTCATAAACAGAATAGATCTTTTTATGGCACTAATAGAGCTAACAGCACAGTGAACGAAATAGTCAATAAAAACTGAGCAAACATCTACATTACACGTGTTGATGTTACGAAGAGAAATTGGACGGAGTGTGAGAGTATGTAATGCTATGTAGGATGGCCTAAATAATAGTGGCAGTGAAGATGTCTCTGACCTGCAAATTGAGGTTAAAGGAGACAGATATGTGAAAAAGAAGGAAGATAATTCCAGACAGAGGAAACAACGTGTGCAGATGTTTTTGTCAGGAGAAAAGCTTGGCTTGTTCTAGAAACTGAAAGCTTCTCAGTATAATTGAAACAGTAGTGAATGAGGAAAAGAATGGCATGAAGTGATGTTAAATGACACGGGAATGGCCTTCAAGCCATGGTGAGAAGTTTGGCCTTAATACAATAGAGAACCAACAAAGGATTTTAGACAGGAGAATGACAAGATATTTCAAAGAAAAACCACTTAGGCCACAGTGGGGAAGAGGTTAGAAAGGGTTAAGAGATGACATAGTCCCTGCCATCAAGGAGTGCAAAGTCTAGTTAAACAGAAAGACATGTTAGCAGAATTTCAGTGTGTGTGTAGTAAGTGCCATGACAGAGGTAAGGGAGTATGGAGACAAGCATGGGTTCCAATTCTTATATACCACCTCTACACTATGCAAGTTTTGTGACTTTGGCACAACTTATTTAACCTCTCTGGGTCTCAGTTTTCTCATTTGTAATATGGAAATAATCATTGAGTTGCTATAAGGATTAATGAGATAATATGTGCTTAGCTTGTAAATAGATGGAAGCTCTCAATAAGCAGTAGCCATAATTAATGTTAATGTTAGACACAGTATGGGGTTGAACTGCAGGAGACAAGACTGGGGTGCCGGGAGTCCAGTAAGGCATCTTCTACAATAATCAAGAGGAATGATGACAGTGGCCTGGGTTAAAATGGCAACAGTGTAAGTGGAGATGGATTGGAGATAGATTTGAGAGATTTAAAGGAGACAGAATCACCTGGTTTCTGATTAGATATGGGTGAAATATAGTGATAGGAGTTGAATGAATTCCCAGTTTCTACCTGTAGTGTCTGGGAAGAGAGTCATGGCACAGACAGAGAAGGGGAGCTTAGACTCAAGAGTGAATCACCAATCTTGTACCCTTTCCTGAGAGAGGAACCAAAAATATGTCTAGATTGAAGGGAAGAGAGACTAGTATCACAGGGGGCATGAACCAACCAGAAATAGTCAATAATAGAGCCAGAGCCAAAGAGAGAGACACAGAGACAGGAGCAGGGGCAGAGACTGAGAGAAGGAACATGTTCTGACTTTGGCCCTTCCATTCAGCCTCCTCCTGTTAGTGGCTCCTTTGGTTGTTCTCCATTCTAAAATTTCAGTAGTGTCACAGATTGTTAACAGGAAGCTAAATGTTCCCTGAGAGAGTTTATATTTTCACCCTACCCCAAAAAATTCCCCCAGTCTCCCATTACCATGGGGATTTTACATTTAATTGTCACCAGACATATTTGGGGAAAAACCCTTCCTACCTCCCCTTCAGTCTGGAGAAGAAAAAAGATTTTGGAAAGCAGGTGATGTAAGTCTCTAAACTTGAAATAAACTGAATTGCAGAAGCATAAGAAACCACAGAAACAAAATAAATTGTGAACATAATGCTGTTCTGGCCTAATAGGACTCTTTTATTTAGCACAGAGGTATGAAAACAACCTGTCCCATTAGTAAGTGAAATTTTCTGTACCAGTGAAGCAGAAACAAATATCCATGTTTGTAAAGTGCAGAAGTGGAAGTGTGAATTTGGTGGGTGTGAGTTGTTTTTAGTTCTTAGAACTGTAATGCACTTGATATAGCCTCCCTTGTTCTCTCACAAGCTTATGCATAGATAATAGATAATAGTAGAAACAGGATCAATACTGAAGTAATATGGAAATAATCACTGGGCTGCTATGAGGATTAATGAGATAATATGTGCAATAAAATGTGAGATAATATGTGAGATAAAAGTGGGTGGTAAGGAGGGGTGGGTGACATGTGTGGGGACAGATGTTTAGTTATATCCTGATGGCATAGCTAGAGTAATTCTAATGTTACAAGATCATAAGGTCCTACTATGGGGTTAGAAAGGTTCTGCCATAATGTGCCCTCCAGATATCACAATGATCCTCATTCTATTAAAAAGTCCCTCCTGAGCAGGGAGAGGCAAGTGGTATAATGGAAATAGCACAGACTTTGGAGCAAGTCAAGCATGGTAGTAAATCCCATTTTTACCATTTTTTAACTTTGTTACCTAAGACAATTTACTGAATCTCTCTGAACCTCAGTTTCTCATCTGCACTATAAGAGTAATAATAGTAACTTACGATGGTTGTGAGAATTGAATTATGTAATGCATGTGAAAAATTCCATTGCAGATTCTGGGGTACATCATTGATAGACCATTATAATTATTTCCTTTCTTTTCACCTGTGAGTACCCCTCTACCTTTGTTCTAAGTCATACATACACAAGCAAGATGACTGCATGACTCTTTAGGATATATCACAGATAGGTCAAATAGGGAGTATAAGAGGAGGGAAAATGAAAGTACTCTTTAGAGTAATGGTAGCTTATAAAGTTGACTCTCTTTTATCTGTGAATTAATCCTTTGTGGTTCTGTTCTTTTATCACATTTCTATTCCCTGGAGTAGACTTAGAATGATATAGGAAGTCATTCTGCTACTTATGAAGAGAATCTAAAAGAGGCCGCTCCTTTGTTTTTGTAAACATACTTAAAACAAAACAATACCAACAACAAAACTCCACCTGAGAAAACCTCAGTACTTTTTTTTCCAATTCTAGCTCTAAAGGCAAAAAACATTCCTGCAGTATGGACAGAAGCTATGTTTGTAAAATTTGTCTTTGAGAGGAAAACAAATGATGGACAGAAGGGTGTGTGTAAAGATTAACCACCTTTTTCCTCCTTTTTGAAGTCCCAGATCTTTCATTTAGTAGATGTGTGGCCTTAATAAATCCCTCTCTGGGCCTTGCTTCTTCTACCTGTATCATATGGTGGCTGAATTAAATGTTTTTTAAAGGTCCTCTTCAGTCCAAATTTCTACAAATAAAATAACAAGGTTGTTGCTGTCCTGCCATTCTTATTTGCAAACAGCCTGCATAAATCCATGGCCAGAACTTGAGAAGCCCTAAAAATTATTGTATATTCCCCATGTCTTACATATAATACACAATAAAAACTATACTAAAACATAAAATAAATTAAGGAAGTCCAAAAAACTTTCTCATTATGATGAATAATGAAAAAAATATTAAATCTTAAATTGTTTCAGAAAAATGATTTTGGTGGCCTATTTTGCTGGTACCTTAATCAATGTTCACTGTGGCTGTTGGATAATCTGCCAAGACATGATGTCACACCAGTACAGAATTCCCCTTAGACAGAGAATAGGTCTCTTCCCTTCCCAATTACATAAGGGAAAATATCCTGGTTCAGCTTCTAAATCCATATATTACTGAAAATTTTCACATAAATTTGGAATGAAACCTAAGCTAAGAGAAAGAGAGAAAATGCATGAAAACCACCAGCTATTGTGATAGAATAATAAGGAGGTAATATTCCCAAGCCCTGAAAATCAACCAGGATACTGGTAATGCAGGCTAAAGGAGGCAGATCTGTTTTCCAGGTGCTGTGATGCCAAGTTAGGAAGTCAGGACCCAGTGAGCAAGGTGGCAGACAGAAGAGAGGCAAGAAGACCTGAACAACAAGACTGGATTTCTACCATTGCAATTGGGAAGTAGTGAACAGTGGTCATCCCAACCAGAGCTCGAGGCAAGAGAAGTCTTGATACAAAAGAAACAAACTCAAATATCACATTCTTTTTCTGTGGTTAGAAAAACAGATGGAATATTTCAAGACTTCCTTACCTGCAAGACACATCTTTGACAATCTGGTAGGGCAAGGCAGTTGGATGACAATTCCATGGTTCTCTAACGGATTCACTGGGTGACCTTGGATCAATAGTATATCTTCCTTGAGCATCTTCTTCTTCATCTGTAAACAAATCCCTTCTAATTTTAATATCCTATGACTCTGTAGGTATAAAAACATATCTGGTGACACCTCATCATAGTTTTGATTTGCTTTTCTCTAATAATTAATGATGTTGAGCATCTTTTCATATGCTTGTTGGCCATCTGTATGTCTTCTTGGAGAAATGTCTGTTTAGATATTCTGCCCATTTCTTGATTGGTTTGTTTTTTTAATTAAGCTGTACAAGCTGTTTGTGTATTTTGGAAATTAAGCCCTTGTCAATTGCATTGTTTGCAAATAATTTCTCTCATTCAATAGGTTGTCTTTGTGTCTTGTTGATGGTTTCCTTTGCTGTGCAAAAGCTTTTAAATCTAATAAGGTCCACCTTGTTTGCTTCTGTTTCCATTACTCTAGTAGATGGATTTTTAAAAAAAAAACTATTATGTGATTTATGTCAAAGAGTGTTCTGCCTATGTTTTCCTCTAGGAGTTTTATAGTATCTGCTCTTACATTTATATCTTTAATCAATTTTGAGTTTATTTTTGTGTATGGTGTTAGAGAATGTTCTAATTTCATTCTTTTACCTGTAGCTGTCCAGTTTTCCCAGCACCACTTATTAAAGGGATTGTCTTTCCTCCATTGTATATTCTTGTCTCCTTCATCATCAAATTAATTGACCATAAGTGCGTGGGTTCATTTCTGAGCTTTCTAAAATGTTCCATTGATCTATATGTTTTTTTCGTGCCAGTATCATACTGTTTGATTACTGTAACTTTGCAGCATAGTCTAAAATCAATGAGTATGATTCCTCCAGCACCTTACATTTTCTATTTTTTTAAACATCTTTACTGGCGTATAATAGCTTTACAAATGTGTGTTAGTTTCTGCTTTATAACAGTGAATCAGTTATACATATCCATATGTTCCCATATCTCTTGCATCTCCCTCCCTCCCACCCTCCCTATCCCACCCATCTAGGTGGTCACAGAGCACCGAGATGATCTCCCTGTGCTATGCAGCTGCTTCCCACTAGCTATCTATTTTACGCTTGGTAGTATATATATGTCCATGCCACTCTCTCACTTTGTCACAGCTTACCCTTCCCCATCCCCATATCCTCAAGTCCATTCTCTAGTAGGTCTCACTCTTTACTCCCATCTTGCCCCTAGGTTCTTCATGAAATTTTTTTTCTTAGATTCCATATATAAGTGTCAGCATATGGTATTTGTTTTTCTCTTTTGGACTTACTTCACTCTGTATGACGGACTCTAGGTCCATCCACCTCACTACAAATAACTCAACTTCATTTCTTTTTATGGCTAATATTCCAATGTATACATGTGCCACATCTTCTTTATCCATTCATCTGTTGATGGACACTTAGGTTGCTTCCATGTCCTGGCTATTGTAAATAGAGCTCCAAAGAACATTCTGGCACATGAGTCTTTTTTTTTGCGGTACGTGGGCCTCTCACTGCTGTGGCCTCTCCCATTGTGGAGCACAGGCTCTGGATGTGCAGGTGCAGCGGGCACGGCTCACGGGCCCAGCCACTCCGTGGCATGTGGGATCCTCCTGGACCAGGGCACGAACCAGTGTCACCTGCATTGGCACGCAGACTGCCAACCACTGCGCCACCAGGGAAGCACAGTATATGACTCTTTTTCAGTTATGGTTTTCTCAGTGTACATGCCCAGTAGTGGGATTGCTGGGTTGTATGGTAGTTCTATTGTTAGCTTTTAAGGAGCCTCCATTCTGTTCTCCATAGTGGCTGTATCAATTTACATTCCCACCAACAGTGCAAGATGGTTCCCTTTTCTCCACACCCTCTCCAGCATTTATTGTTTCTAGATTTTTTGATGATGGCTATTCTGACCAGTGTGAGATGATATCTCATTGTAGTTTTGATTTGCATTTCTCTAATGATTAATGTTGTTGAGCATTCTTTCATGTGTTTGTTGGCAATCTGTATATTTTCTTTAGAGAAATGTCTATTTAGGTCTTCTGCCCATTTTTGGATTGGGTTGTTTGTTTTTTTGTTATTGAGCTACATGAGCTGCTTGTAAATTTTGGAGATTAATCCATTGTCAGTTGCTTCATTTGCAAATATTTTCTCCCATTCTGAGGGTTGTCTTTTCATCTTGTCTATGGTTTCCTTTGCTGTGCAAAAGCTTTTAAGTTTCATTAGGTTCAATTTGTTTATTTTTGTTTTTATTTCCACTTCTCTAGGAGGTGGGTCAAAAAGGATCTTGCTGTGACTTATGTCATAGAGTGTTCTGCCTATGTTTTCCTCTAAGAGTTTGATAGTGTCTGGCCTTACATTTGGGTCTTTAATCCATTTTGAGTTTACTTTTGTGTATGGTGTTAGAGAGTGTTCTAATTTCATACTTTTACATGTACCTGTCCAGTTTTCCCAGCAACACTTATTGAAGAGGCTGTCTTTTCTACACTGTATATTCTTGCCTCCTTTATCAAAGATAAGGTGACCATATGTGCATGGGTTTATCTCTGAGCTTTCTATCCTGTTCCATTGATATGTGTTTCTGTTTCATAGATAATGAGTCTCATAGATAATGAGTAGGTCTTTATGAAATCCAGCACCTAACCATGGTAGTGCCCCCAAGATCAAGCCCATATCTATTCCCTTACCTCATCTCTTAACTACTCTCTCCTTCATACCTGAACTCCAGATACATTGGTCTTCTTTCCATTATTTAATATGTTAAGCTCATTCTTGTCTTAGGGCCTTTGCCTTTGTTGTTCTCTCTGCTTAGAATGCTTCTCCACTAGGTCTTCACGTGGCTAGCTCCTTCTCATCATTCAGGTTCAAATGTCACCTCCTCAGAGAAGCCTTCCCTGATCATACAATCTACAGTAGATATGCAGTTACTCTTATCAACTTATCATATTATAATTTTCTTCATAGAATTCTCTGTTTTTTTCTTTTTCATTGATTTATTCAATGTCTGTCTATATCACTGTCCAAAAAATATAGGTTCCATGAGGGCAGCAATCATATTGCTCTGTTTCAGTACAATAACTAGTACATAGTAGACACTCAAGTAATATTTTTTGAATGAATCAAAGTGGGAGAACCGGGATGGCAAACCAGGTCTGTATGACTTTAAGGCTCTTGCTCCATACTGCCCCTTTTATTTATTTATTTTTTTACACCTTTATTGGAGTATAATTGCTTTACAATGATGTGTTAGTTTCTGCTTTATAACAAAGTGAATCAGTTATACATATCCATATGTTCCCATAAGTCTTCCCTCTTGCATCTCCCTCCCTCCCACCCTCCTTATCCCACACATTTAGTTGGTCACAGAGCACCGAGCTGATCTCCCTGTGCTATGCAGCTGCTTTCCACTAGCTATCTATTTTACATTTGGTAGTATATATATATGTCCATGCCACTCTCTCACTTTGTCACAGCTTACCCTTCCCTCTCCCCATATCCTCAAGTCCATTGTCTAGTAATCTCACTCTTTATTCCCATCTTGCCCCTAGGTTCTTCATGAAATTTTTTTTCTTAGATTCCATATATAAGTGTCAGCATATGGTATTTGTTTTTCTCTTTTGGACTTACTTCACTCTGTATGACAGACTCTAGGTCCATCCACCTCACTACAAATAACTCAACTTCGTTTCTTTCTATGGCTGAGTAATATTCCATTGTATATATGTGCCACATCTTCTTTATCCATTCATCTGTTGATGGACAATTAGGTTGCTTCCATGTCCTGGTTATTGTAAATAGAGCTCCAAAGAACATTTTGGTACATGACTCTTTTTTTTTTTTTTTTTGTGGTACGCGGGCCTCTCACTGCTGTGGCCTCTCCCATTGTGGAGCACAGGCTCTGGATGTGCAGGCGCAGCGGGCACGGCTCACGGGACCGGCCACTCTGCGGCATGTGGGATTCTCCTGGACTGAGGCATGAACCAGTGTCACCTGCATCGGCACGCAGACTGCCAACCACTGCGCCACCAGGGAAGCCCGGTACATGACTCTTTTTGAAGTATGGGTTTCTCAGGCTACATGCCCAGTAGTGGGATTGCTGGGTTGTATGGTAGTTCTATTGTTAGCTCTTAAGGAACCTCCATGCTGTTCTCCACAGTGGCTGTATCAATTTACATTCCCACCAACAGTGCAAGACGGTTCCCTTTTCTCCACACCCTCTCCAGCATTTATTGTTTCTAGATTTTTTGATGATGGCCATTCTGACTGGTGTGAGATGATATCTCATTGTAGTTTTGATTTGCATTTCTCTAATGATTAATGTTGTTGAGCATTCTTTCATGTGTTTGTTGGCAATCTGTATATCTTCTTTGGAGAAATGTCTATTTAGGTCTTCTGCCCATTTTTGCATCGGGTTGTTTGTTTTTTTGATATTGAGCTTCATGAGCTGCTTGTAAAGTTTGGAGATTAATCCTTTGTCAGTTGCTACATTTGCAAATACTTTCTCCCACTCTGAGGGTTGTCTTTTGGTCTTGTTTATGGTTTCCTTTGCTGTGCAAAAGCTTTGAAGTTTCATTAGGTCCCATTTGTTTATTTTTGTCTTTATTTCCATTTCTCTAGGAGGTGGGTCAAAAAGGATCTTGCTGTGATTTATTTCATAGAGTGTTCTTCCTATGTTTTCCTCTAAGAGTTTGATAGTTTCTGGCCTTACATTTGGGTCTTTAATCCATTTTGAGTTTACTTTTGTGTATGGTGTTAGAGAGTGTTCTAATTTCATACTTTTACATGTACCTGTCCAGTTTTCCCAGCAACACTTATTGAAGAGGCTGTCTTTTCTACACTGTATATTCTTGCCTCCTTTATCAAAGATAAGATGACCATATGTGCGTGGGTTTATCTCTGAGCTTTCTATCCTGTTCCATTGATCTGTGTTTCTGTTTTTGTTCCAGTACCATACTGTCTTGATTACTATGGCTTTGTAGTATAGTCTGAAGTCAGGGAGCCTCATTCCTCCAGCTCCATTTTTCTTTATCAAGATTGCTTTGGCTATTTGCGGTTTTTTGTGTTTCTGTACAAATTGTGAAATTTTTTGTTCTAGTTCTGTGAAAAGTGCCAGTGGAATTTTGTTAGGGATTGCATTGAATCTGTATATTGCTTTGGACATTCGAGTCATTTTCACAATGTTGATTCTTCCAATCCAAGAACATGGTATATCTCTCCATCTATTTGTATCATCTTTAATTTCTTTCATCAGTGTCTTATAATTTTCTGCACACAGGTCTTTTGTCTCCTTAGGTAGGTGTATTCCTAGATAGTTTATTATATTTGTTGCAATGGTAAATGGGAGTGTTTCCTTAACTTCACCTTCAGATTTTTCATCACTCATGTATAGGAATGCAAGAGATATCTGTGAATAAATATTGTATCCTGCTACTTTACCAAATTCTTGATTAGCTGTAGCAGTTTTCTGGTAGCATCTTTTGGAATCTGTATGTATAGTATCATGTCATTCGCAAACACTGCCAGTTTACCTCTTCTTTTCTGATTTGGATTCCTTTTATTTCTTTTTCTTCTCTTATTGCTCTGGCTAAACCCTCCAAAACTATGTTGAATAAGAGTGGTGAGAGTGGCCAGCCTTGTCTTATTCCTGATCTTAGTGGAAAAGTTTTCGGTTTTTCACCATTGAGGACAATGTTGGCTGTGGGATTGTCATATATGGCCTTTATTATGTTGAGGAAAGTTCCCCTATGCCTACTTCCTGGAGGGTATTTATCATAAATGGGTGTTGAATTTTTTCTAAAGCTTTTTCTGTATCTATTAATATGATCATATGGTTTTTCTCCCTCAATTTTTTTTTTTTTTTTTTTTTTTTGCGGTACGCGGGCCTCTCACTGTTGTGGCGTCTCCCGTTGCGGAGCACAGGCTCCGGACGCGCAGGCTCAGTGGCCATGGCTCACGATTGCAGCTGCTCCGCGGCATGTGGGATCCTACCAGACCGGGGCACGAACCAGCGTCCCCTGCATCGGCAGGCGGACTCTCAACCACTACACCACCAGGGAAGCCCCTCCCTCAATTTTTTAATATGGTGTATCACATTGATTGATTCACGTATATTGAAGAATCCTTCCATTCCTGCAATAAACCCCACTAAATCATGGTGTATGATCCTTTTAATGTGCTGTTGGATTCTGTTTGCTAGCATTTTGTGGAGGATTTTTGCATCTAGGTTCATCAGTGATATTGGCCTGTAGTTTTCTTTCTTTGTGACTTCTTTGTTTTGTTTTGGTATCAGGGTGATGGTGGCCTCTTAGAATGAGTTTGGGAGTGTTCCTCCCTCTGCTATATTTTGGAACATTTGGGAAGGATAGGTGTTAGCTCTTCTCTAAATGTTTGTTAGAATTCACCTGTGAATCCATCTGGTTCTGGGCTTCTGTTTGTTGGAAGATTTTTAATCACAGTTTTAATTTCACTGTTTGTGATGGAACTCTTCATATTTTCTATTTCTTCTTGATTCAGTCTCGGAACATTGGGCATTTCTAAGAATTTGTCCATTTCTTCCACAGTGTCCATTTTATTGGCATAGAGTTGCTTGTAGTAATCTCTCATGATCCTTTGTACCTCTGTAGTGTAAGTTGTCACTTCTCCTTGTTCATTTCTAATTCTATTGATTTGATTCTTCTCCCTTTTTTCTTTGATGAGTCTGGCTAATGGCTTATCAATTTTGTTTATCTTCTCAGAGAACCAGCTTTTAGTTTTATTGATCTTTGCTATCATTTCCTTCATTTCTTTTTCATTTATTTTTGATCTGATCTTTATGATTTGTTTCCTTCTGCTAACATTGGGGCTTCTTTTTCTTTTTTCTCTAGTTGCTTTCGGTGTAAGGTTAGGTTGTTAATTTGAGATGTTTCTTGTTTCTTAAGGTAGGACTGTATTGCTATAAACTTCCCTCTTAGAATTGCCTTTGTAGCATCCCAAAGGTTTTGGGTCCTCGTGTTTTCATTCTAATTTGTTTCTAGGCATTTTTTGATTTTCTGTTTTATTTCTTTAATGATCTGTTGGTTATTAAGTAGTGTATTGTTTAGCCTCCATGTGTTTGTATTTTTTACAGATGTTTTCCTGTAATTGATATCTAGTCTCATAGCACTGTGGTCGGAAAAGATACTTGATTTGATTTCAATTTCTTAAATTTACCAAGGCTTGGCTTGTGACCCAAGATATGATCTATCCTGGAGAATGTTCAATGAGCACTTGAGAAGAATGTGTATTCTGTTGTGTTTGGATGGAATGTCCTATAAATATCAATCGAGTCCATCTTGTTTAATGTGTCATTTAACACTTGTGTTTCCTTACTTATTTTCATTTTGAATGATCTGTCCATTGGTGAAAGTGGGGTGTTGAAATCCCCTACTATGAATGTGTTATTGTCGATTTCCCCTTTTATGGCTGTTAGTATTTGCCTTATGTGTTGAGGTGCTCCTATGTTGGGTGCATAAATATTATAATTGTTATATCTTCTTCCTGGGTCAATCCCTTGATCATTATGTAGTGTGCTTCATTGTCTGTTGTGATAGTCTTTATTTTGAAGTCTATTTTGTCTGATATGAGAACTGCTGCTCCAGCTTTCTTTTGATTTCCATTTGCATGGAATAACATTTTCCATCCCCTCAATTTCAGTCTGTATGTTTTCTTAGGTGTGAAGTGGGTCTCTTGTAGACAGCATATATATGGGTCTTGTTTTTGTATCCATTCAGCCAATCTGTGTCTTTTCCTGGGAGCATTTAGTCCATTTACATTTAAGGTAATTATCAATATGTATGTTCCTAATCCCATTTTCTAAATTGTTTTGGGTTCATTATTGTAGGTCTTTTCCTCCTCTTCTGTTTCCTGCCTAGAGAAGTTCCTTTAGCATTTGTTGTAAAGCTAGTTTGGAGGTGCTGAAATCTCTTCCTTTTTGTTTGTCTGTAAAGTTTTTAATTTCTCCATCAAATCTGAATGAGATCCTTGCTGGGTAGAGTAACCTTGGTTGTAGCTTTTTCTCCTTCATCACTTTAAATATGTCCTGCCACTCCCTTCTGGCTTGCAGAGTTCCTGCTGAAAGATCAGCTGTTAACCTTATGGGATTCCTTTGTGTGTTATTTGTTGTTTTTCCCTTGCTGCTTTTAATATGTTTTCTTTGTATTTAATATTTGATTATTTGATTAATGTATGTCTTGGCCTGTTTCCCCTTGTATTTATCCTGTTGGGACTCTCTGTGCTTCCTGGACTTGATTTACTATTTCCTTTCCCATATTAGGGAAATTTTCAATGATAATCTCTTCAAATATTTTCTCAGTCCCTTTCTTTTTCTCTTCTTCTTCTGGAACCCCTATTATTCTAATGTTGGTGCTTTTAATGTTGTCCCAGAGGTCTCTGAGACTGTCCTCAATTCTTTTCATTATTTTTTCTTTTTTCTGCTCTGCAGTAGTTATTTCCACTATTTTATCTTCCAGATCACTTATCCGTTCTTCTGCCTCAGTTATTCTGCAATTGATCCTTTCTAGAGAATTTTTAATTTCATTTATATTGTTATTCATCACCGTTTTTTTGCTCTTTACTTCTTCTAGGTCCTTGTTAAATGTTTCTTGTATTTTCTCTATTCTATTTTCAAGATTATGGATCATCTTTATTAACATTATATTGAATGCTTTTTCAGGTAGACTGCCTATTTCCTTTTCATTTTTTAGATCTGGTGGGTTTTTACCTTGCTCCTTCATTTGCTGTGTGTTTTTCTGTCTTCTCATTTTGCTTAACTTACTGTGTTTGGGGTCTCCTTTTCTCAGCCTGCAGGCTCGTAGTTCCCGTTGTTTTTGGTGTCTGTCCCCAGTGGCTAAGGTTTGTTCAGTGGGTTGTTTAGGCTTCCTGGTGGAGGGGACTTGTGCCTGTGTTCTGGTGAATGGGGCTGGATCTTGTCTTTCTGGTGGGCAGGTCCACGTCTGGTGGTGTGTTTTGGGGTGTCGGTGGCATTATTATGATTTTACGCAGCCTCTCCGCTAATGGATGTGGTTGTGTTCTTGTCTTCCTAGTTGTTTGGTATAGGGTGTCCAGCACTGTAGTTTTCTGGTTGTTGAGTGAAGCTGGGTCTTTGTGTTTAGATAAAAGTCTCTGGGAGATTTTATTGTTTAATATTACGTGGAACTGGGAGGTCCCTTGTGGACCAGTGTCCTGATCTTGTCTCTCCCTCCTCAGAGGCACAGCCCTCATGCATGTCTGGAACACCAAGAGCCTTTCATCCACATGGCTTTGAATAAAAGGGATAAAATTTAGAGAGAAAGACAGAAACAAGATAAAATAAAATAAAATAATGTAAAATACAATAAAATAAAGTTATTAAAATAAAAAAAAATTAAGAAAAAAATTTTTTAAAGTAATAATAATAAAAAACCATAACGGACAGACAGGACCCTAGGAAAAATGGTAAAAGTAAATCTATAGAGACAATATCACACACAGAAGCATACACATACACATCTACATAAAGAGAAGAAAAAAATTATATATATCTTTGCTCACAAAGTCCACTTCCTCAATTTGGGATCATTCGTTGTCTATTCAGGTATTCTACAGATGCAGGGTACATCAAGTTTATTGTGGAGGTTTAATCCTCTGCTCCTGAGGCTGCTGGGGGAACTTTCTCTTCTTTGTTCACATAACTCCCGGGGTTCATCTTTGGATTTGGCCCCGCCTCTGTGTGTAGGTCGCCTGAGGGCGTCTGTTCTTCACTGAGAAAGGACAGGGTTAAAGGAGCAGCTGATTCGGGGGCTCTGGCTCACTCAGGCCGGGGCTAGAGAAGGGTATGGATGCATGGAGGGCCTGCAGTGGCAGAGGCCAGCGTGACATTGCACCAGCCTGAGGCACACCGTGTGTTCTCCCGGGGAAGTTGTCCCTGGATCACGGGACCCTGGCAGTGGCAGGCTGCACAGGGTCCCATGAGGGGAGGTGTGGACAGTGACCTGTGTTTGCACACAGTCTTCTTGGTGGCTGCAGCAGCAGCCTTAGCATCCCATGCTGTCTCTGGGATCCGCGCTGATAGCCGCGGCTCATGCCTGTCTCTGGAGCTCTTTTTTTTTTTTTTTTTTTTTCTGGAGCTCTTTTAAGCAGCACTCTTAATCCCCTCTCCTCGCGCACCAGGAAACAAATAGGCAAGAAAAAGTCTCTTGTCTCTTCGGCAGTCCAGACTTTTTCCCAGACTCCCTCCCGGCTAGTCGTGGTGCACTAACCCCTTCAGGCTGTGTTCACGCCACCAACCCCAGTCCTCTCCTGGGATCTGACTGAAGCCCGAGCCTCAGCTCCCAGCCCTCGCCCGCTCCGGCGGGTGAGCAGACAAGCCTCTCGGGCTGGTGAGTGCTGGTCGGCACCTATCCTCTGTGCGGGAATCTGTCTGCTTTGCCCTTCTGACCCCTGTTGCTGCGTGTCCTCCGTGGCTCCAAAGCTCCCCCCCACTGTCACCCACAGTCTCCTCCTGTGAAGGGGCCTCCTAGTGTGTGGAAACCTTTCCTCCTGCACAGCTCCCTCCCACTGATGCAGGTCCTGTCCCTATTCTTTTGTCTCTGTTTTTATCTTTTGTGCTACCCAGGTACGTGGGTGAGTTTCTTGCCTTTTGGGAGGTCTGAGGTCTTCTGCCAGTGTTCAGTAGGTGTTCTGTAGGAGCTGTTCCACATGTAGATGTATTTCTGATGTATTTGTGGAGAGGAAGGTGATCTCCGCGTCTTACTCTTCCGCCATCTTGAAGCTCCTCCTCCAGCACATTTCTTTCTCAAGATTGTTTGTCTATTCTGAGTCTTTTATGTTTCCTTGAGGTCTCACCTCACACTGGTCACAATGGTTATCATCAAAAAGTCTACAAATAATAAATATTGGAGAGGGCATAGAGAAAAGGGAACCCTCCTACACTGTAGGTGGGCATGTAAATTGGTACACCCACTATGGAGAACAGTATGGAGGCTCCCTAAGAAAACCAAAAATGGTTATCATATGATCCAGCAATCCCACTTCTGTGCATATATCCAGAAAAGCCAAAAACTCTAATTCAAAAAGGTACATGCACCCCAATGTTCATAGCAGCACTATTTACAAAAGACAAGACATGGGAGCAACCTAAGTGTCTATTTACAGATGAATGGGTGAAGATGTGGTTGTGTATATATATATATATATATATATATATATATATATATATATATATAAATCTTACTCAGCCATAAAAAGAATGAAATAATGCCATTTGTAGCAACATACATGGACCTAGAGATTACCATACTGAGTGACGTAAGTCAGACAGAGAAAACCAAATATGATATGATATCACTTCCATGTAGAATCTAAAACAATGGTACAAATGAACTTATTTACAAAACAGAAATAAACTCACAGACATAGAAAACAAACTTACAGTTACAAGAGGGGAAAGGGAGAGAGGGATAAATTAGGAATTTGAGATTAAGGGGTACACACTACTGTATATAAAATAGATTAAAAAAAAGGACCTACTGTGTAGCACAGGGAACTATATTCAATATCTTGTAATACCCTGTAATGGAAAAGAATCTGATATAACTTAATCACTTTGCTGTACACCTGAAACTTTGTAAATCAACTATATTTCAATTTAAAAAAATTCTGGGTGTCAGCTATAGTACTGGTTAACCATTATACCCTTTTTCTTTCTTTTTTGTTTTGTTTTGTTTTGGGCAGGGATCATAACTTCACGGCTTACCTTGATGAATATACTGAAATATTCAAGATGGGCAGCAACAGTACCAGCAATGCTGAGAATCACTGCAATGTCACTAATTTGACATTTCAATACTCCCTCTATGCCACCACCTACATCCTCATATTCATCCCTGGTCTACTGGCCAACAGTGCAGCCTTGTGGGTTCTGTGCCGCTTCATCAGCAAGAAAAATAAAGCCATCATTTTCATGATCAACCTCTCTGTGGCTGACCTTGCTCATGTGCTGTCCTTACCCCTCCGGATTTACTATTACATCAGCCACCACTGGCCTTTCCAGAGGGCCCTTTGCCTGCTGTGCTTCTACCTAAAGTATCTCAACATGTATGCCAGCATTTGTTTCCTGACATGCATCAGCCTTCAGAGGTGCTTCTTTCTCCTCAAGCCTTTCAGGGCCAGAGACTGGAAGCGTAGGTATGATGTGGGCATCAGTGCTGCCGTCTGGGTCATCGTGGGGACTGCCTGTTTGCCATTTCCCATCATGAGAAGCACAGACTTAGCCAACAACACTGAGTCCTGCTTTGCTGATCTTGGTTACAGGAAAATGAATGCAATGGCTTTGGTTGGGATGATTACAGCTGCTGAGCTGGCAGGATTTGTGATCCCAGTAGTCATCATTGCATGGTGTACCTGGAAAACCACTATATCCTTGCGACAACCACCAGTGGCTTTCCAGGGAATCAGTGAGAGGCAGAAAGCACTGCGGATGGTTTACATGTGTGCTGCAGTCTTCTTCATCTGTTTCACTCCCTATCATATTAACTTTATTTTTTACACCATGGTAAAGGAAACCATCATTAGCAGTTGTCCCATTGTCCAAAGCTCACTGTATTTCCACCCTTTTTGTCTATGCCTTGCAAGTCTTTGCTGCCTTTTGGATCCAATTCTCTACTACTTCATGGCCTCAGAGTTTCGTGACCAACTATCCCGCCATGGCAGCTCCGTGACTCGTTCCCACCTAATGAGCAGGGAGAGTGGTTCATCAATGATTGGTTAAAAATAAAATAGCTCTTTGATTATGGCTTTGTTTAACTATGTTTCCTGGCTTTTTCCAAAGGTGGAAATGACCAGCCAGACAATTTTGTTAATTGAACTTTGGGAACAACAGAAATAGTTGTGCTTACAGGGTTGTGATGGTGCAGGGAGAGTGTGAAAAATGTGGGAGAGGAAGGGAAGATGGGAGTTGTATGTTTCCTCTTTGAAATTCAAGGCACTTTCTTACTTAAGAGATCTAGATCAAGGCTTTACAGATGTTTTAAACAAATGGAAATTGGATATTTTATCTTAAACCTTTCTTTATTAAATGTGATGTTGTTAATGATACAATAAATGCATGAATCTTTTCCAGAATGTAAAAACAAATCTCTTTCATACGAAGACCATTATTTGTGAATGAGAGCAAAAAAATCTCCAGTCTTTCTAAGGTATAAATGCACAGGCAAGGGGGTGTGAATGTTGAAGCAACATGTGCATCAATTTTAGGGCACAGACCTCTTATTGAATAAAGGGCATGGGAATTTGTTCATTCATTGAAAATATGTTGGATGTCTATTGTATTCTGGGTTACCACTTTCCTGGGTACTTTCACATATAGCATCTCATCTAGCTCTTCTAATAAAGTTGTGGAAGGTTATACAAATGAATAAATGGAACCTCAGACAGATGAAACAACTTCCCTGGAGATAATCAGTGGTGAGCAAAATTTGTCCTGAATACACAACATATGCTTAAATTATTACCTCTATTTGTGTTATTATTCACTAGGTTAATGCTAAACTTGGTTTGAATGGTGAAAACACAGACTAAATTTAAGCCATCCAAGACCAAGATCATTTCTATACAATTTTTTGAAGATTATTTGAAAAGCCTGTGGCTTGTGGGGATGGTGTGTCAGGCTTCAGGTTGCAAGGTATCAAATAATAAATAGGTTTTTCTAATACTGTCCCAAACTACAGAGTCCTGATGATCAGGGGTATAGGACACACAAGTAGTTCATTATTAACACAAAATATACTTAAGTCTTAATGTTGGTAATATAAACCCATAAATGGAAGAAAGAAAAAAAATCTATAAGGCTGGAAAATAAGCATTCTGTAAAATTTAGATTTTTTTGAGTTCACCCAACCTTTCTTCTTAAACATTACTATGCATTGCTCTGAACAGATTTGTGTTTATTAAGAAACTTCTCCATGAGCAGAGCTTACAGAATTGTATTGGAAGCATAATATTATCACATCATAAATGAATGACAGAAAAGTTTATGTCCTCTTTCTGGAAATCTCATCTTCATTTTTTTTTAAAGGTTATGGCTACTGTTTCAGAATTACTATGGAGGTTTTAAATGCAAGCAATCCTCAGATTCTTGGGTTGCCATTTATGAAGCTCAATCCATCACTCTCATTTTTTATTTATTATTATTATTATTTTTTTGTGTGTGTGGTACATGGGCCTCTCACTGTTGTGGCCTCTCCCGTTGCGGAGCACAGGCTCCGGACACGCAGGCTCAGCGGCCATGGCTCACGGGCCTAGTCACTCTGCGGCATGTGGGATCTTCCCGGACTGGGGCATGAACCCATGTCCCCTGCATCGGCAGGCGGACTCTCAACCACTGCGCCACCAGGGAAGCCCATCATCACTCTCAGTTTTTTTATTCCTGCAGTTTAAGTAGCATAGACATTTGGTGTGCAGGGAGGAGAAGGGAAGTGGTAGTCCTCAGATATCCATTTGAATACAATGTCTATGGAAGAGGAAGTAGGGACAACCGAAAAAGGAGGAATTAAAAGGAAAAAAAAAAACAAAAGTTTTCTAGGGAAGAAGAGAGTTCTGTAATTATAAAGTAATGAAACTTTTTTTGTGTGTGCTTTATTAACCAGAATCTAAAGGCATAGCCTAAAGAGGGTTTCCAGATATTCATAGGCAATCCTACTCTAAGGAGATTATTGTGAAAGAAACCCACTTGGAACTACACATCCTGTTATCTTTGTGAACAAAAGGAACCTCAGTTCCAAATAGTCACACTTCATATTCCCTCCTTTCACGTTGTTGACAAGAGGCTGTGCTTCAAGCACCAGATGTGTGGGTTTGCGAACAAATTAAATTTCATCTGTCCACCATTAAAGAGGAATCTTTGGGCCTTTTCTGACATGTGAATCTCTATTGTAATGAGAGAGAAAAAGATAACTTCAAAACAAGCAATGATTCGTTCTTGAACTTTAAAGGCTGGATTGCCTTATATAATGTTAGGGGGAAAGGTAACAGTGCTTGATCTAATGAAATAACAGTTCAAGAAATAGGTGAGGCTACTTTAAGGTATTACAATGACCAATTTGAGCAAGGACATTCTGTGTGACAAAGAGGATAGCAGACATATATCCTTGAATCAGCTTTTCAAGAAGTCAACTAAAAAAGCTGTACATTTCCCCAAAATCTCTGTAAGACGTGTGTCACAATCCAATTATTAACCATTCAGAATCTCATAACCTTAATGAAATACTCTTTAGTTTTGTGATAGTTTTGGTTTAAAAAAAGAAAGGGATTTTGAGGAATATAGTAAAGTTGTACAATAATCTATATGATCTTAAATACAGTTTATGCATGATTGGTTATGCTGTTTACTTTTAGAAAACTTTAATTACTAGTACAGACTATAGATATAGCATTTATCATAGATTAAATTGATAGATAATCTTTATGGAACATGAGGTCATTTTTATAAAAAAATATTAAGCATCATTCTCTTATTTGAAAATTGAACTCACTTATTATAAAATTGCTTCTATAAGAAAATCAGTTTCTCCTCACATGCTTTTGTGTATTTTCCAGGAATGTAACGCACCATAAAAGTAAGGTACTGCTTAAATAGAAATTTTAAACCACATTCCTCTTTTAACTAGTAAGTAGTTTGGGTGTCATATTAACTCTTTAGACGTAATACTGTGACTTTAAGTACATTAGGAACACAATATGTAATTACAAGTAAAAGTATGCTACTATTCTCTAAGGCTTTGAAAGAGTTAATTAATCTCACAAAGTTCCAAATTTACCACCAATGAATAATTAAGTTATTTTCAATTCCTGACATTTCAATAATTAACCACAATTTTGTTTTTGGAACAGGAAATAGGTTTCCTTCTTTCTTTCTTTTTTTTTTTTTTTTGCGGTACCCGTGCCTCTCGTTGTTGTGGCCTCTCCCGTTGCGGAGCACAGGCTCCGGACGTACAGGCTCAGCGGCCATGGCTCACGGGCCCAGCCGCTCTGTGGCATGTGGGATCCTCCTGGACCGGGGCACAAACCTGTGTCCCCTGCATCGGCAGGCGGACTGTCAACCACTGCACCATCAGGGAAGCCCAAGTTTCCTTTTTTAATATAGATATTACTTTGTCCAAGTAAACTGTGCAGAATTTGTAAAGTAGGGAGGGAAAAATTTGTTTACAGAAGCTGAATTTCAAACTGGTTACTAAGGAGAAAAATGGAGAGTAGCAAACTTTCAGGAGCTGTTATCATAGACTAGCAGATTTCCTGATCTTCTGGAGTTGAGGGGGGGCAGATTTCCTTGACCTGAGAAATTGCATTTGAACTTGGTCTTACATGATAGAAAAGTTTGAAAATTGTTTTTAAATACCAAAGAAGAGTAAGCATTCTTATTGGAAATCCTCCTGAGCCAAGGAAGGAAAGAGAAAAAAACTGGAAGGTGACTAATACTGAATACTATAGTTTGGCTAGAACTATATGAGGGAGCAATAAGTAATGAGGCTGTAATGAGGCTATGTAGAGGCCTAGTTCTGGTTCAAGTCCCTGAACTCACCTCATCCTAGAGACACACCAAATCTATGCTGAAGAGTTTCCTTTGAAAAAAGCCAAAAAACCCAGTGGAGGAACCACTTCACATTGAAAAGTGAGACAAAAACCACATTGAAGAAGGTAGGAAAGGCTAAGACACAACCTCCTCATAAACCCCACCCCAACTATGGTGACTCACAATCAGGAGGGAATTCAAAACACAAATATTCATCTTGAGGAGCAAAGGGTCTGTATCTGACTTTGGGCACCCCAACGTTTAATACTCACATCTGAGAGATGAGCCCCTGCCAAACAACAGGCTTTCAAGACCAACAGCACTCAAGCCCACAACATCATTGGGAATATGGTGAACTTAAAAATGACTCTTAAAGGCCTCACATATATCTCACCTGCTCCAGGGCCCAGCACAGAAACAGCCCTTTGAAAAGTGCTTAGACTTTCTGTGAAAGGAACCCAGTTGCAGATTTTAAAGCATCAGTCTGAGGGTCCTGCTGGGATATTCTCTGGAGATGGAGACTGGTAGATATCATCTTCCATGCTCTTCCTCTGCCTTGCTAAAGCAGGAGCCATGTGATTTTTTCTTTTTCTTCTTCCTTTAAAAAAAAATCTTTTTCTTTCACTTTGCTTTTCTTTATATATTTTTTCTTTTTGGCTTTCATTTTACTTTCTTCTATTTTCTTTTCTTCTCTTTTTTTCTTTTCTTTATCTTTTTTGGCAGATGGCATCTTTTCATTTTTTAACATATATTTTTATTTTTTAACGTTTTTATTGGAGTATAATTGCTTTACAGTGGTGTGTTAGTTTCTGCTTTATAATGAAGTGAATCAGTTATACATACACATATATCCCCATATCTCTTCCCTCTTGCATCTCTCTCCCTGCCACCCTCCTTATCCCACCCTTCTAGCTGGTCACAAAGCACCGAACTGATCTCCCTGTGCTATGTGGCTGCTTCCCACTAGCTATCTATTTTACATTTGGTAGGGTATATATATCCATGCCACTCTCTCACTTTGTCCCAACTTACCCTTCCCCCTTCACGTATCCTCAAGTCCATTCTCCAGTAGGTCTGCATCTATATTCCCGTCTTGCCCCTAGGTTCTTCATGACCTTTATTTTTTCTTTTTGTTTAGATTCCATATATGTGTGTTAGCATACGGTATTTGTTTTTCTCTTTCTGACTTACTTCACTCTGTACGACAGACTCTAGGTCCATCCACCTCATTACAAATAACTCAATTTCTTTTCTTTTTATGGCTGAGTAATATTCCACTATATATGTGTCACACCTTCCACATTCCACCCATGTGCCACATGGGTACATTCATCTGTTGATGGACACTTAGCTTACTTCCATGTCCTGGCTATTGTAAATAGAGCTGCAATGAACCTTTTGATACATGACTCGTTTTGAATTATGGTTTTCTCAGGGTATAACACCCATTTATGATAAAATCCCTCCAGAACATAGGCATAGAGGGAACTTACCTCAACATAACAAAGGACATATATGACAAACTCACAGCCAACATCGTCCTCAATGGTGAAAAATTGAAATCATTTCCACTAAGATCAGGAATAAGACTAGGTTGCCCACTCTCACCACTATTATTCAACATACTTTTGGAAGTTTTAGACACAGCAATAAGAGAAGAAAAAAGAAACGAAAGGAATCCAAATTGGAAAAGAAGAAGTAAGGTTGTCACTGTTTGCAGATGACATGACACTATACATAG